TTTACAAAATGAAATATCGACAATTGAATTTTTTTGATATTACATAAACGACGATTCTATTTAAATTATGAATTTGGTAGCTACCCAAGTTATAATATATTACCTAGGTTGGGAAAGTTTACGTTTTATAAACCGCAAAGCGATTTATAAAAATCGTAAATTGTTCCAACCTAGGTGATATCAGTATAATGCTGTAGTATTAAATAGATTTCTTATCATTTAATTTCCCATCATTAAGTGTAGATCACAAGACAATTCTTCAAATGCTTTCAAATTGTACCTATACTTTAAATGTAACGACAGGCTGATTGATACGTTTTTGATGTTAGTCATTGTGACGTAGGCAACCCAGGTCATACGACATAATCTAATCTTAATCCAATCAAATGACACGTTAGAACCAAAATAAAATTATGTTTTACTTAAAAAGTTTTTCTGTTCCTTTCTCTCTCGTCATTTTTGTATGAAACATGCAATTTAGAAAAGGACTATATAAACACTTTTGTTTTATACTGCCAATTTTCTCAAGTCAGAATAACCATAGTGACTTCAATTTACATAGATACAAGTGTTGCACTCAAAATATGAGGAAGGATTACTTGATTTTAAAAAGTATTTAATTATATAGTTAATTTGGAATATTATGTCACAAAAGTGATCATAATTATAAATTCTGTCTAACAATAAGGGAGTCTCCTTTAAGCTCTTAACTGCTTTATTACAATTAGATTTAATGTTAATTAGGATAAATTTTATATATAATTAAAAACTATGCAACTATCCAATCAATGTTATATTGTAATTGCAAATATATACCTATTCTAAAAGTATGGATTTATGAAAAGTTATAGGAAGAATATTTACGTATCACAATACGTATGTATTGTATATTATTCTAAGTAATGACATAATTTATTATTGCATAGTAAAAAAAAAATCAAAAAAAAAAAAAAAAAAAAAAAAAGACGAATGACATTAAAAAATATATCATCAGAGTGAATCCCTTTGTAATAGTCTACTAATTTCCACAGTAATGCCCTGTTCACACGGAGAGTTTAATTCGAATTAGTTTGCTGTTTGAAAGTTAATGCGAATTAGCTTCGCTTAGCGTTCACACGGAGAATTAAATGCGAATAAGTTTAATTCGAATTAGTTTACTGCGCATTAAATTACTTCGCTTTAGCTTCGTGTGAACGCTACGCGAAGCTAATTCGAATTAAATTTTGACGCATGTGTACGGCCAGAATTAAGTCACAGGACACATGTTGGTGGATAGATATAGGTATTTGTGCTACATTTGGTTCAAAATTGAGGGAAAGTATGTTAATCACTAAAATCAATGAATACCTGTAGCCACTACATGATGTATCAAAGGATGGCTCTGCACACATGACGTGATTTACAAATGACGTCATAATAGACTTACTGACGCCTGACTGTAGAAGAAAAATTTTAATTCGCATTAGTTTACTTCGCATTAGCTGTCGTGTGAACGCAATTTAATTCGCATTGATTTGATCCGCATTAGTTTACTTGGCATTAATTTACTGCGAATTAAACTCGTCGTGTGAACAGGGCATTAGTCAAACAAGCAATACTGTGGATAGCAGAAATACGTTATCATGCATGAAGTATACCGCAACAGCCTGAATTTGCATTTAGGATACAGATAAATAAAGACCCAACAATTGGTATTAAACATGTCTGCCAAAATACAACACAATGATAGGCATTTTTGGTAACAAGTTCATTATGTATCGAAGGCCATTGAGTATACAAAATGCTGACTTTAAACAGGGTTATTGAAAACCCTGTAACATCAATGTCATGGCCAGTAGCCTGCCTCCGCTTAGAAATTGAGCGTACTCGGAGCGCTCCCTCCTGGGTATCAAATAAGTTGGGAGATGTAAATACCACATGAAGGTGAAATATGACTACGCAAATAAGAAAGTTGACAATGGAAAAGCTGAAATTATCTAGTTTATCATACAGTCTAGTTATTAGGTTTTCCTTATTGTTTATAGTCAGTTAGACAATGAAAAAAGTGACAGACTCTTCAGTGCATTTTATTTAAAGTTCTCACTTGGTATATTGAGTCGACACTTGTACATATATAATTGGACATTACTTATCTAATTGATAAAACCTCATCGATGTATCTAAAAGTTAAGGCCACAGTAGTGTGTGTTTTCTTTTTCTTATGCAGCTGTTTTCGAATAAACTCCGCTTCATAGGAAAAACAGGCCCACCAGTAAAGCAGCACAATTAGTTTTCTTTGGAAATTTTCAACATTCTCTTGGAAGCCCTGGTCACTTAAGACAACATTAAAGTTCATCAACAATAAATTCTAGCATTCTTTTAATATCAACTTCTGATTACTTAAGTATAGAATTAAAGCGGTTTTTAACAATGTAAATTTCTTCACCGGCCTGGTGCAGTAGTGAGTGCGTCTGGTTATTTATGGTTGAAAATTACAGTATAAAGTATATAAAAATCGTACGTTTTGATGTTAATGACTTTTGAAAATGATATTTTAAACTTTCTAAACGATCAATGAAATTGTTTTGAAATTTCAAATCTGATTAAAACCACTTCTTACATATGATGTGGCGTATCTTCACAGCAATGAACATCTTTCCAAAGATTAAAAATAGGAACCTTGATAGAGCATTTGCTGGACCCTGGAATGTATCCCTGCTTATAAGGATTGTAAGGAAGTCTAGGAATCCAGTTAAATAAGATAGATTGAACTCACCTTGGTTGACTGGACTGCATTAAAGACGATGAAATGTGGTTCTGAACAATTACTTCTTTAGAAACTGAACTGCGAGTTTAAGTTAGATTTCTCGTCCTTTACCGATCATATATATTTCTATGGCATCAGATCCCACCTCTAATGAGGTCCGTGTTTGTTCAGCTCCAATTTAGTATTGTTTAATGAATGGACCTTTAGGTTTGAAACCCGTTTGTTATCTTAATATGCAATTCAAATCTTTTAGGACAGGAATTTAAAAAATGTCCTAAACGAGATAACCCACTTTTGAACTCGGTACTTCAGATGTCTCCAAACTCCAGATAGGTCTGATGTTATGCTCGTGCAAGCCATTACGCACATTTCATGCGACTTCTTCATGTAAAAGGAGTCAAACTTGCTGTCTGAAAACGATTTTGTAGATGTACGAATCTGATATTGTTATTTTGGCGTACCTTCGTAACACCGGGGCGTCCTGATCGAACCGAAGTTTTGCCGAATCGTTGAAACTGTCTCCATAATGAATGCCTAGTGTTTCTTTGAACACAAATTTTTTGTGCGAAACCGTTCTTGGTCATCCAAGCTTGCAACATTCCTATAGCAGGAAGACGTTGATTTGCATATATACTTAGCATAGCACAATCGCAGATTCGTATAATAGCAAAGTGATTTTCTGAACAAATCTAGTCTTCAAAAATGTTTCGCACTCTTTGACACACAAAAATATAACTCAAGATAACATGCGAATACGATTACGTCAAAAAGCACACGTGCATGCCTATCATAAAAAATTCGCGCAATAGAGTCAATTTCAAGTCTACTGTCCTTAATATCACCACTTGTAAAGTTAACTAGCTGCTTAAACTATATACAATATCATTTGAGTTTTATGCTAAATTTACCGATACACCTGTCAGTCTTTTTTATCCCTTGATATACATGCAAGCAATGAAATGCATGGAATTAAAATTCATAGGAGGGTGGATGAAGTAAAACAAATAATGGTACTAGTATATGCAATAAAAATATAAACTGAATCTTCTGAACGATGAATATTCGCAGATAAATACATATTTACACTGTTTTCTTTACAAACTTTGTAATTTCAAGCAATGTTATTTATTCAGAACTGTTAGTATGTACTTGTCATAATTTCTATGTCCCCACTTTAATTATTTCAAAAATATAAATACCCTAAAATCAATTTACTAGTTGCTTACAATTTTGCCTTTAATTTGCAATGCTCATCTGTCAAAGCCTAAAAAAATGTAGTCGAATGAGTAATAACTCCAACGTGACCGTTTTTGTTAAAAGCATGATGTTCGGGTTCCGTATGTTTATCGGGTTTATATTTCATATTTTTTTTTATTTCCATGTGTTCTCCATTTTAAATTCGTTTAAAATTAAAAACGAAAAACAGGAAAAAGCTTGATTAACATGTGGTGAATGTCTACTGAACAATGGGCATGTGAGGCTGACATGACCCAAGCTTGTTTTGCTTCCGTTCATTGTATGAGTGTATCTGTTTATTTTACGTCAAAACTTTACAATTACCACCCGAAAGACCTACAAAGCATACCTTTTTTTCTTACAATTATAAGACATTGCTAGATTTTTAATAGACACTACAAAACCATCCTAAAGTTTATCAAGAAAAATAAATGGAACCGGAAGCCGAAGTGCCCTCACCTCAATGTCAGACTGGAGGAGTGGGGAATGCATGTATGAACACGTTATACATGTATGCTGTAGGCCTAATATTGTCGGCATGCAGAGACAATTTTGGTAAGCCATCTTGCCATCCAAATCTCAACCCCTATTAGCATGTATGTCAGAAGATAGACCGGAGAGTGAAGCAGCTTTTCCAGCCACAGAATCTATCGGAACTACATGTAGAGGACGACCTAGTCAACACACGGAAAAACCTCCAATAATGATTTTTCTTTAATAGTGTGAGCTCTTTGAGGAACGGTCGTCTTGCTGTGAATTTGTTTGAATGGAGGATAATGCAGTATTCAACGTTGCTATTTTTTAAAATCTAGGATGCCTTAACGTTTTTGCAATTTGTGAGAAAGCGCTTTAATTAAATAAATAAAATGAAAAATATTGTTCGGCTTCTTTTTTTTTATCATGTGTACGTATTAAATTGTATTGTCAAAACAATTCAATATAAACGCAGTGTAAAGCAAAAGCTTGCCTGGGGACTTAGAAATTTTGAAAATTATAAAAATGAACATTTTCCAAACCCTTCTGTTTATCGAAATTATTTCCATAAATACATCGGAATGTAATGCAGCTTTGAAAAGACTCTGAAATTATAGATAATGCAAAACAATTTAATTTCCATATAACAAAATTGTTGAATGAAAAACAAATTTTTACAAGAGTTTCTCAAATCATGGTAGACTCACTTTGTGTATGAATATTAATGGTGCACTGCAGAATGATATTTGTACGATTGTATCCACATTCAGTATTCTTCTTATCTTCTAACCGTACAATATCTTCGGTACCATATTTTAGAATTATTTTTACAAAACCATCTGCCTTTTCTGATTTTGTTTTTGAACAAATTCCAGAACAGTTTTTCTCTAGGTTTCTCAGGAAAAGGTCAACTGAAAAAGGAAAATGTTTTTCATGTATGTGTCCTTGTTTTAAAAAAGCTTTCATTAATCAGGGTCATTTACCTAAAGTTATACATCACTTAAATTTAAATTCTGTTCGTTAAAGAAAAAAGAAAACTTACTTGAAGAGTGGGATACACAATCTGTTTTATCTGCTATTTTTCTGTAAAATTGTGTGGCCCTCTGGATACAATTTCTGAAATCCAGAACATATATGTACAGTAGTTATAAATGTTAGTTCCATATTATTTGATTAGTAACATGTAATACTATAATCACAGTCTACCACTAGATGTTTCATTTTAATTTAAAAATGATAATTACATAAAGAGCAAAATCTACGCAATTAGATATCCTTTGGCATATTCATACTCATTAAGGAAATAAAGCTTTGAACCTTATCCCATATTTGGTTGTCTTTAAAAATCTGTCACATATTTCATTTTGTGAGCGATTGAAATTCAATTCAAGGAATGCATTAAGACAAATTGTAACTAAATAAATGGTTGCTAGGGTCAGTGTTTTTTTTTTCAATGAAATTAAGGTATTTATCTGCTTTAGAAACTTTGTATATGTATCTTTAGAAAATATACCTTGGCAAATACTGTTAATTCAAATCACCAAGATATACAATGTTCTTCATAAAAATGGTGATAAGTGGAAAGAATGAGACCAAAAAAAAAATAAAAAAAAAAATATTAATAATATTATGAAAAAAAATAGAGGTTAATGTTTTGAAAATATAAATCATTTTTTCTGAGTACACATTTTATATACATATTATTAATTAACATAGGCAATCACTTAAATCATTTTATATTCCTTAGTTCTCCTGCGAAACGACTGATCTTGTTTTTTGTTAAAAGCATCTATTTAATCCCTATTCCCTTATTCTGCATATACATGTATTTACTAGTAAAAGGGAAAAAAGCTGTAAAAGATAATACGAGTATGCACGAAATATGTGGATAACGCAGAGTATTCAAGCTCAAAAGTTCATCAAATACTATAAAATAGGAGCAGAACTCCAATACATCAGTGGTGGAATCAGGTGCCATGACGTAGTGGGCATCTCCTGCCGACCGGTCACATCCGCCGTGTGCTCCTTAGCACGACCAGGAAATAACGGAAAAAATTTAATCGTGGACATCTCAGTGTAGAGCCTAACAATCAGTATGAAAAAATCAGTCAGCATTTATAACTTGTATTTGGTGTCAAGATCATTGTATCTACCATAGATTTTACGCAATTATGACTATAAACGAGACTGCTGATATTCTTGTTTCATCAAATTGTTTGTCAACATCTTGCATGCTCTTGCATATCAAAACAACCGAGAGATATGAACTCTGTATGCAGGTGACAAAGGTATATTGCTGCAAAAGTAAGGAAAGATGACGATTGAAAAGTTAATGTCATCACGCTTATTATAAATTTTGTTAGATAACCATAAATCTTTTTCCAGTAAGAGATCAAAACATGAAACAGATGTGTCAGACTCTGTGATATCTTTTATTTCAAGCTCACCGGGATATTTTGTGTCGACATAAGAATGGAAATTAATATTTTAATTGACAATGCATCGTTGTTATATCTAAATCTTACGTGTAAAAGATTTTGAACAAATTTTGCTTTATATTTATACAAAAATAGGTCTGCTAATAACTGGGCGGGAATCTTTTTATTATCAACTTCAGAGTATAATTTATGTGTATACATTGTATTATGTGTACAATCAAAATGTTTTTAATAAAGAAATTTTGCAATTGACCAGTGTCAAGGTATGTAAATTTACGAGTTCCATTTTTATTGAAAAGCAGCTGTAAATGAAGTCAGAAAACATGAACTATAATTTATCGTGGGGAATAGTTGTAATGAAAATTGACAAGTCAAAAGTTTCTATGATGTTGATTTTGTTAAAAAATTGTGATTTCAAATGTTCCAAAAGTTCCTTGGAATTTTTTAGCATCCACATTTGATTTACACTTCTCAATATATTGTTGAACAGTACTGTTAAAGTTTTTCCTTCACTAATTGCAAATACCAATTACATTTTTTGAAAAATTCTTCAAAAAAGGATTTATTTGGTGTTTAATCGGTCCAAATTGTTTTTTGTTTCATTCCGAAAAAAAAATTCCGTCGGAGACAAGGCAATTCTCTTCTGAAAAAATGAAAGAAAAATATTTTAAAATAATACTTACATATCTGCATTGCAGCAGTCAGATGATTAGACATTACAAATGCAGCTGCTACGATCTTCCGAACAACTAATAAAGGTGTTTTTATTTATTGAAAAAAAACCCCACTATTTCAATGAAATTCGTGTTCTCCTTAATTTACAATTTTCAATTTCTAAATGTATCAGATATATACGAGATGGCATGGTTAACATTTCCAATGTTTTAAAGAAAGCAAAAATTATTCTTCACCCAATTTCATCTCGGCTGGCTCAGTTTTCTCTTAAATCTTAATGAAGACAATTGATTTGTGCCGTTGGATAAGGAAACATTGGTGTATGCATGAAATCATCCTGGTTAGTTATTATATTTAAAAATATATATAATATTTTCCCCTAAAATGAGACAGCACTTACATGTATGTAACAAATAAAAGATTGAAATCCTTTCCAATAAACAATACATAGTAAATTCTATAACCACTTCATGATGTTTGTTTGAGTTATATGGCATTTCATAATGTTGTTTTCTTAGACTGATTTCTAAATATTTTAATTAATGCTTCAAATCATATAGAAAAAAGTATTATGAACGAGCAACTTCCAAATCAAGACAGATCCCCGAAAAATGCGATGATGATTCAAAGGAACTCATCATCTCATTTAAAGTCAATGCTTTACAATTTTATGGTTTGTGGGATGGCAGGGGATGCTTACTCCGCCATGGCAGCTGATCCCGCCTCTGATATTTTAGAAGTCCCTGTTTGATTGACTTTCAGTTAGAATTTCAGCATGAACACTTAGTCTAGCTATATGTTATTTTTGCATTTCATTCTTTTCAATGTGCAATACTATTTACTCTTAAACTTTCCTTGTAACAATTTAGCAAATAGCACAATCACAGAGATAAGTGATTTAAATTCTGGTATAATTTGCTGAATAAAGTTATTATGGAAAAAAAACTTAACCCATTTAACAAAAAATCCATCATTGGTTATTTTAGAGGTTATTTAAACGACTATTGTATTTAAAGAATGAATTTATAAACTACTGTTGAAACCTGGATTGAGACAGTTTATTTTAAAGGGGCTTGGACACAGTTTCAGCTAAAATTTTAAAATTCATTTTTTCATTTTTACAAATATTTAACTAAGGTCTTTATAATGACCATCAAAAATTTGAACATCAGTTGTCGAGATACAAGACAGATTTAGAGCTCCAAACCTTTGTTATGTAAACAAGGGGCGTGTCATGTTTTTGTTTACATAGGTTAATGTACTACTATATGTTTGTTCAAAGTAGATAATTGCGATAAAGAAGTTAATTTGAAATACGTTTCGACAGTTTCTATTGATTTGCTAAATTTTATTTTGTTATATATATGATATTTTCTATATGTAAACAAAAACAAGGCACGAGCCTTGTTTACATTATGGAAAACATTAAGTTCTATATCTCGTTTGTTAATCAACAAATTATGTTCAAATTTCTGCTAATCATTAGACGAAGAGTTTGGTAGGAATTGTAAACATTAAAGTTGGTTAAAAAATTCAGTTGAAACTGTGTCCATGCCCCTTTAACACGGCGGGTGTGACCGGTCAGCAGGGGATGCTCACTCCTCCATGGCACCTGATCCCACCTCTGATGTTTAAGAGGTCCGTGTTTGCTCTGCTCTTATCTTGTATTGTTTTATGGACGTTGATATTGAATACTGTTTGTTATCTCCATATATCCTTCTCTTTATGAACCGTGAACCAATTGTTGTTCCAAAGTACAATGTAGGTAATACCAGTATAACTTTGATATCTATTAAATTCGTTTCTTATAATCTAATTTTCCATCAATAATTGTAGAAAATGACAATTATTTCTACTTCAAAATGCATTTAAAATGTACCTATTTTAAATGAAACGACAAGCGGATTGATACATGTGCGTTATTGACGTTAGTTATTGTGACGTGGGCAACCCAGGTTATACAAAATAGTCTATTTTTTTAATCCAAACAAATGACACGTTAGACCCAAAATAAAATTTATATTCTATTATAAAAAGTTTTTTCCTCGTATTTTCTCTTTCCTCATTTTTGTATAAAATATGCTCTATAGAAAAAGACTATAGAACACGTTTGTTTATTCTGCCAATTTTCTAGACTCCAGAAATACAAAAGCTATAGTGACTTTAATTTAAATACAAGTGCTGCATTCACAATATGAGGAAGAATTACTCTATTTGGAAAGTATATATAGATTAGAAATTTGTCTCAAACGTGATCAATCATAATAATTAATCTGTCTAACAATAAGGAAGTCTCCTTCCAGCTCTTAATTGCTTTGTTGCACTTATAGTTAATAATTATCAATTAGAATAAATGTTTATCGATAGTTAAAAATTTACTAATATCCAATCAATGTTGTATTGTATTTGCAAAGAAAAGCGTAAATAAAAGTGTTTTAAGGAATCTGGATGTATGAAAGGGTAGGAAGAATATTTATATATCACAAACATGAATGCATTGTATATTATTGTAAGTATTGATATAATTTTTTATTGTATTGTAGGAAAAGAAAACACCCAAAGTAATTGAAAATTATATCATGAGAATGAATAATCTATTTAAACCCACCCATTAGTCAAACAAACAGTGCTACTGATAACAGAAAAAAAGAAACTTTTATTAGTTATCATGCACGGAGTATACACCAACAGTCCAGAAGTTCTACAGTAACTGGCTTATACATGCGTCTCCGATTTCCGTTTCTCTATTTATAAATTAAACACTTCAAAAAAAAAAAAATTAAACAAAAGCTTAATTGTCAATTCTTGTTTCAGCTTTATGACGATTTGAATTAATTCTCCTACTTACGAGGCCCAATTTATAATATGAAGATAAAGAATTTTTTCCACTACTTTCCTGTGTAACAAATGCAAACCTCATTTCCCAAAAAACTTTCTTCGCTGAGCAACATTATCACATGGGTAATAACTGTTTATAAGTATGGAAAAGGTGAATATAACAAA